TTATTAATTGACCGTAGGATGTTTGTTATGGGTTGGACATAGGATTTTTAGACTCATTGAAAGCCTGACCCTTATTTTTCCTTAGGGACGTTATTGTAACATATAAATGCATGCACTCGTTGGTTCTCTTAATCATAACCTTTACCTTCACGTTTAAAAGAGGCTGAAAGAGAGCAAGGGAGAAAAATCTGAGGATTGTATTTTTGCTCATGCGGATCTGTTTGTCAAAGGTAAACCTTAATTCCGCCTTGTAGGGCTAATAGATGAATAAATTTTTAGTAATCAACTATACAAGCCGTCAATGGAACTTGGAACTGCCATTCCAACAAATGTATCCTCTATCGTAATGTATTGTGTATTGTAAGTCCACTAAATCTTAAAAAATAATATTGATAAATAAGTATACCCATTACCATATAACTTTATAGTTTACAAAATAATATAAATACCATCACAACTTTTTTAGCATTTAGTGCAATACAGGTTTCCGATAAATACTGAAAGAGAGACATGAAGAAATAAACACAACAGAATTTGATAAATTTGATGAATGGGGATCTAGTCTTTGAGAATTAAAAATTCTCTTTGAAATGAAAACAGTAGGGTTGAGATTTCCTCTCAATGGGTTTTCTCACAAGTTGGGTTTTTTCTTGGTGTGTTCTCGTTGTATGCAGATAACCTTATTTATAAGGGAAGATTCAGCTAGCCGTTACCATTTAGCAAAATATCCTCAACTCCCCAATATTTTCTCAACTCCACCAGCATTTCCTCAACCCTCTGCAGTCAAAGTAGGCTAATTATAGTCCAAGTAGGATTGACTAGTTTTTCACTACTTGATGGGTCCCTCTAGCCAAGTCACCCATACTGACTAGAAAAAATTCAACCCAAACATCCAATTATATCAATGCAATATATGTATACATGCATCATTATAAAATAATTAATTAATATATAATAATTTAACAAAAAATGCATCTATGATCTATGTTATGAATAATGCAATATTTAACCAACGGATTGAGATTTTATATATTCCGGATTTGATCACCAACTATGGCTTAATTAATATCGAGGAATTTTAGTCACATATTCCAACATCTCCTACTTAACTACAAGCCCGAAATATTCATTTATAACTTAAACCCATAGCAACAACATGTTTAAATTCTTCGGTTCCAATAGGTTTTGTAAATGGGTCTGCAACTATATCTTTTGTACAAAGATAGTCAATAGTAACATGTTCTTTTTTGTATTATATCACTCAAATAGTAATATTGTAACTCAATATGCTTACCTTTAGGCCTAATTTCTTCATTTTTAATGGTTTTTATCACAGCCGCATTATCACGAAAAATATGAATAGACATATTATTTACATAGGTAAGTTTTAAATCAGTTAGAAACCATTTTAACCATATGGCTTCAGAGACAACCATACTACAAGCAATGTATTCAGCTTTCATTGTACTTTTAGCTATGCAACCTTACTTTTTACTAGACCATAAAATAGCACCACCACCAAAAATAAATATATAACCTGTGGTGGATTTTCTATCATCAATATCACCAGCAAAATCAGCATCACAATAACCATTAACATTTATATCATCAGCTTGATATGTTAAAGAAAAGTCTAATGTACCTTATATGTATCTAAGTACACGTTTTACAGCTAACCAACGAGGTATACCTAGATTACTTTGATATCGACTAATCAAACCAACAACATAGCTAAGGTCTGGTCTGGTGCATAACATAGCGTACATAAGACTACCAACAACTTCCGTGTAGGGTTTAGATTTCATTTCTTGTATTTCCTCTTTAGTTTTAGGAGTCATATTCTTAGACAATTTTGCTCCTTTGTAAATGGGTGATTCAATAGGTTTGCACGAATCTATTTTGAATTTCTTTAAAATATTTTTCAAATAAGATTTTTGAGATAAATTCAATTTTTTTTATTTTCTATCTCTAGAAATTTTAATTCCAAGTACGTAATGTGCTTTACTCATAACTTTCATTTCAAACTTGGTGTTTAACCAATCTTTTAGTTCTAGGATTCTATTTATATCATTTCCGGCAAGTAAAATATCATCCACATATAAGGAAAAAATAATATAATAACTCCCACTATTCCAAGTATATATACAATGATCATAGTTTTTTGGAACAAAACCATAAGATATAATTATATTATGAAAAGTATGATACCATTACCTTGAGGATTGTTTTAAGCCATATAAGAATTTATTTAATTTGTACACCTTATCTTCTTTACCTTCAACTTTATATTCTTGCGGTTGATACATATAAATTTCTTCTTTAAGTTCACCATTAAGGAAAACAGTCTTAACATCCATTTGATGCAACTCTAGGTCTAAGTATGCGACCAAGGACATCTGATTTAAATTTTTTTTAAGGATCCATTTACACCCAATTGCTTTTTTATCTATTGGTAAATCAACTAACTATTCTATTTCTTTTTTTTATTGCTTCTCTCCATTTTAGATGATCAATTGAATTTATAGCAGCATCAAAATCAATAGAATTATTTGGAATTTCTTCACTATTGAATGCATAATAATCTTTTAAGTAGTTAGGTGGATGTCTTTCCCTTTGTATTCTAGTTAAAGTATCCTTGGGTGGAGGCTCTTTTATTATTTGCTCTTCTTGTTGTTTATTTTTATTTTCCTTAGTAATTTCAAAATAGTTCAACCATTTTCTCAATTTTATCTAAGTCATCTTCAAAGAAAAATGCATCTCTACTTTCAATGACTCCACTGAACTATCACTATGGTGAATTACAAATCTATAGCCAATAGAATTTTTACAATATCCAATAAAAGTACATTTTATTGATTTAGGATCTAATTTTCCTCTATTAGGTCCTAAAATTTTAACTTGAGCCGAACTACCCCAAACTTTTAAATGAGAAAGACTTGGTTTTGTATCCCTCCAAATTTCATATGGTGTCATTCCTATTGTTCTAAATGATACTTTATTAAGAATATAAATAGAGATAGAAATAGCTTCAACCCAAAATGTAGTGCTCAAGTGTGCATGACTAAACATAGATCTAACCATGTCAAGAAGTGTTATATTTCTTCTTTCGGGTACACCGTTTTGTTGAGGTGTGTAAGAAATTGTTAATTGATGTATTATTCCATTTTCTTTACAAAAAGGTTCAAAAATTTCAGTCATGTATTCACCACCTCAATCCGTCCTTAATGTTTTAATTTTTCAACCTACCTATGTAGTTTTCTACTTCCGCTTTAAATTCAATAAATTTTTGTAAGGCATTTGATCTATTTTTTAGTAAATATATATAACTATATCTTGAATAGTCATCGGTAAAAGTAATAAAATATTCTATACCACGACGGGTTTTAACATTTAGAGGACCACAAATATCCGAATGTATTAATTCGAGCAAATCTTTAGCTCTTTCTAATTTTCCAAATGACGTTCCAGTCATTTTTCCACTTATACAAGATCCCCATGGTTTTAAGTCAAGATCTAAGTTTGGAATCAATCCAATGTTAGCCTTCTTTTTCATTTTATTGTAATTAATATGACTGAATCTCATATGTCATAAAATAGAATCAACATTAACATCACAAGAGACAACGATATAAGCAGAAGAAGAACCAATTTTATTATGTCACTAGCAACATTCAAACGGTAAAGACTATCAACTTTAGTTCCTCAGGCAAGAATACGCCCATGTTTACCAATAGAAACTTTAGCAGACCGAAAGCGGACTTCAAAACCCTTATCATCTAATCATGACACGGACAAGAGATTGCGCCGCATAAAGTACATCAGTCAAGAGGAGGTTGTTTTGCCCGAGCAACAAAATTCTCACAGTGCCAATTCCAAACACATCACAGTAAGTATTATTCCCTATATATAACTTGTGGTCATCGATTTTCACCTCCTTTATTTCAACGAAATTATCTCTAGTCTTAGCCACGTGCTGAGAAGAGGCAGAATCAATCCACCAAGCAAGAGAGTCATAGTCTGCAAGAAACGACTCAGAAACCACACACACAATGTCTCTTGATCCTTTAAATTTTTTACCATTATTCTTTTGTGGGCAGTTTCTTTTGTAATGACCGGGCTGCCCAAAATTATAACAAGTACCTATTTGTTTTCCCTTAAAATTATTTTGTCTCTTGAACTTGTTATATTTCTTATTGTTTCTTTTAAAGTGTTTGTTTTGTCTTGGCTTAAGAAAAGGTGGAGTAGTTGACACATTATTAGATGGGGCACCCGTAACAAATTGGGAAGATGGGACACTAGAAACTAGGTTTGACACATTTCTAGTTTGGTGTGATGTGTTATAAGCACATACCCCTTAATCTAAAAAGAAACTTCTACAGAACAATCATAAGACCAACAATGCTATTTGTTATTAAGTGCAGGACGACTGAGAAATAACATTCAAAAATTAAGTGTGGAGGAAATGAAAATGTTAAAACGAATGTGTGGTCAAATTAGAAACAATAAAATGAAGAATGAAAAAATCTGTGAAAAAGTAGATGTAGCATATACAGGAGATAAATTAAGACAAAATTGACCTAGGTGGTTTGGACATATAGTTTTTAGGCAGCAAATTATGACCAAAGAGTAATTTGATAGTTATTGACGCCTCAAGGTAATTAAAGAGGTAGAGGAAGACCAAAATTAAATTTAAATAAAAAAATAAACAATAAATGAAATAGTAAAAAAAGAAATGATAACTTACGATTTTGCAAAAAATATGGCCTTAATAGAGAACAATGGCGAAACATATTTCATTTAGCTGACATAAAAAATGTTGGGACAAAGTTTTGTTGAATTGAATTAAGTTTTCACTGTTTTATTTTTAACATATGTCATGCTTGGCACCATAAATATTGGTGGAGTTTGTCAGGTAATTTTGTTTTGTAATATGAAGAAGAAACACATGAACCCCCCCCCCCCCCCCCCCCTCTTTGTTCTCCCAAACTAATTTCATCAGATTAAAAAGGAAAAGAACGAACGGAAAACACACATCCATGTTGAATCCAATACTCAGAAAGGAAAAGCATCGAATCAAGCGTCACCTGCGCTTGCATGTGTTTAGTGGACTCAGCCCCATCCAGTGCTGCTTGAGACGAGAGAACAAAAGCATCGACAGGATCATCCCCAGCAGTTAATCTCTATTTATAAAGGTTCATATATTAGCAAATTACTTTCAGGCCAAAAACTACATGACACAAAACCCAATTGACCATTAATGATAACCTCTCTAAGAACCAACAATGCCGGAGTAAGAGCATCTAACAGAGTGCGATGACCTACACTAGCCCCCCCATATTTACTGACTGCTGCAATGCCAGCTTCGAGTGCATCAGCCCCTGAACAACATAACTCATTAACGAAAGAGTATTAACTAATGAAGAACAAATCTGAGACTTACTGGACTAGAAATCATCTCACACTGCATGGGTGTAACAACAGAGTGGCTGTCTGCTTTCAATTGTGCATATGCTGCCTTACAGAATATATTATATCTGTTTTAAAGACAGATATTCAGGCTGTGTGATAACTAAAAACAAAAATAAAAACTTTAAGGGTGAACAAACAACCATAATAAATATTTTCGAGACAGTGTAGATACTATACATGATGCCACTTGTTCCTCCCATTACTCTACTGATAGAAGATCCAATTTCGTTGACAGTTTCTGCAGCATCATTGAGTGGATAGCTGGAAAAAGAAATTGAAAGCAAAAACAAAATTAGAAATAATTACATGATAAGCCCACGTCTGTGGAGCTCAAATGAGTAATGATCGCCAAAAACCATTATCCTATATCAATGGATGATTGCGGACAAAAACAAATCTGTTAGCAAAGCAAGAAAAAATAATCACAATGTAACGACCCGCCCTAACTGTCAAGATATTGTTTACTTTGAGTATCCATACACCTTCACGGTTTTGCTCCTATGGGGTTTCGCCTAAAAAATGCCTCTTGACAATTAAGGGTCAGCACACCACATATATAGCCTAGTCACTCTCTATCCCAAGTTGATGTGCAATGCAACACATGAAGCAGTAGCGCCTCCTCACCTCACAAGGCCTTTTGGCAAGCTACTATACTCCACCCCCCCTTAGAGGCCCACGCGTCCTTGCCAGGCCCATGTGGGGTCCACTCCCCACCAGCTATAAGAGAGTCGCCTTTGATACCACCTATAACGATCCGTCTCAACTGTCAAGATATTATCTGTTAAGAATATTAGGATATGTGTAAAATTGTTAATAGTAAGAGGGTGTATGTATAATTATTATATTGTGAGTTCACTATAAATACAAGTAATGTATGAGAACTACGTTAAATTTTAACCTCTCTCTGTTTCTCTATAATATTGTGTTAATCCTCTACACTTAGCATGGTATCAGAGCATTATGGTGATAAATATATATTCTGAATAAATTAATTTTTGGTAGTGGTGGTACTGATGTGGTGGTGTTGTCGTTCTTTGTTGTGATATTGTTGCTTCGTGGTGGTGGTGGTACTGTTGTGGTGTCTCAGTGTTGTGGTGGGCATTGATCGTTGGTGGTGGTCTATGTTGTGGTACTGTTGTGGTGTTGCTTGTCGTGGTGGTGGTGTGGCTGTTGTGGTTTGTCGTCTGTCGTTGGTGTGAGGCGTAGTCAAAAAAGAGGTTACTCTGGAGCCCTAACCAACGAAGAAGACAACGGTCCAGCCTAGACCGACTAGACCGGACCAATTCCTGTTTGATCTCTGTTCAACCTATTTTTTTGTGGTTCAAATAGTTTTGACACAGATTCAGAGGTCCAGGAGGTCAAATTGGTCTGGTTCAGCAGTCCAATTACCTTTTCCAATCCGGTTCAATAGCCCAGCTAGCTTTTCCAGCCCAGTTCATCCGTTCAGTGGTCTAGAGTGCTCAGCCAGTCCAATTCAGCAGTCCAGCATGGTTTTGCAGCCCCGGTCAGCCTTCTAACAGTCTCTTTTCCTCTAGTTTAGCATTGCAACACTTCTTGTTTGCTATTTGCTGCACTATTATGGAACCCAAGCAAGATACTAGGGCTCTTACTCCATCTTTGCCTCCTCCGACTCTTATCAATGGTCCCATGACCTCTGTCAAACTCAATGGGACTAATTACACTTTATGATCCCAATCTGTTCAAGTCTTTTTTCGAGACAAAGGATTTAAGAAATATTTGGTGGGTCCTAAACTCAAGGAAGACACTCCTGAATATCATCAGTGGGAACAAGAAGACGCTCAAATTATTTCTTTACTATTGAATAGCATTGAGCCTAGTATTAGTTCTACTCTACTCTACCTTGACACTGCTAAAGAGATATGGGATCACTTGGCCACTATGTATTCTGGTCCAGGTAATTTTATCCGAACTTATGAGGAGTGCAAGGAGTACTTCCGGCTGTAACAGAGTACTTTGAGCATTGAGGATTATTATTCTCACGTTTGGAGAGTCTGTGAGGAGACAAAGACCTACAATCCGTTTACTACTGATGCAGCAGTTTGGAAGAAGCAACATAAGGACATGAATGTTGTTAAGTTTTTGGTAGGACTAAAACCTGAATATGAAGCTATTCGTTCTCAGATTTTGGGTGGTTCTAGTCTTCCCTCACTACTTGAGGTTCTCTCTCATGTACAGCGTGCTACTTTGTCAACTTCAGGCATCGACCATGGTGTCTCCACTGATCGCTTAGCTCTAGTGATCCTCACTAGCCATAGTGATGGTCATCGAGGTGGTTGAAGAGGTCGTACAGGTGGTTGTAGTGAACCTTGTTCCTGTACTCACTGTGGTCATGGAGGGCACACTGTTGATTTCTGTTGGGATTTACATGGAAAACCTTCTAGTGCTACAAATTAGGCTTCTTATCAAGATGACATCTCAATTGTTGCTTTTGTACCTCGGTCAACTCTACCAGACACTAGGTCGATTACTATTACACGAGAGGAGTATGCTCAGTTCCTGTCCCAACAGTAGGCTGTTCCATCTCCCTCCACTACTACTTTTGCCCAGTCAGGTACTGCTTCCACTTGTTTATTGTCCTCCACTCACAATCCCTGGATCATAGACACTGGCACTTCTGACCACATGACTGGTGCATCTAATGTTTTTTCTACTTATCAGTCTACTACTTCCACACGTAGTATTAGTCTTACTAATGGTACTTGCTCTAAAATTTCAGGTTTGGGGACTACTTACTTGAGTCCTAATATGTCTCTATCTTCCGTGTTATTTGTTCCTTAATTTTCTTTTAGTTTACTTTCCATTAGTAAGATTACTCTTTCTCTCAATTGTTCTGTAACATTTTATCCATCTTATTGTGTCTTTTAGGATCTCAAAACGAAGAGGAAGATTAATATGGGACATTAGGGGTGTCAATTTTTGACTCGAACACGAATCCGACTTAAATCGAACCCGACACGAACCCGAAAATAACACGATTAGTTAACACGAGTAATAAATGGTCAAATTAAGGTTTGACACGAATAACATGAATAATGGGTACTGTAGATAGAAAATAATTATTTAATAAGTATTTTAAATAATATTATATTAGTTGTCAAATTAAATAATTTTTAATTAATATGAATATTAACACGAACCTGACATGTACCGAAAGTGATACGACACGAAAATAACACGACCAAAAGTGACACGACACGATTGACACCCCTACGGGACATGAAACTGATGGCCTATATTACTTTGATTTTGATTCATCTACTCAGGTTCTACAGACCTCATTTTCTCCTTTTCAATGGCATTGTCGTCTTGGACATCCCTCTCTCCAGAATCTGAAGCGCCAAATTTTCAGTCTTAGTTATGTGTCGTCTTTGTCTTGTGAAGCTTGTCAACTTAGTAAGTATCACTGTGTGTCATTTTAGTCTAGAGTTAATAATCGTGTGTCTAGTCCATTTGAGTTGGTACATTCTAATGTATGGGGTCCAATAAAGAATATTCAATCCAATAAATATCCTTATTTTGTGTCATTTGTGGATGACTATTCTCGTGTAACTTGGTTGTTTCTGATGAAAGTTCGGTCTGAATTATTTTCTATATTTGAGACATTTCGTAAGGAAATAAAAACTCAATATGATTGTCGTATACGTATCTTACATTCTGATAATACTCAGGAATATGAATCTGATATTTTTTCAGCTTATCTTAGTAAAACTGACATTATTCATCAGACTTCTTGCACTTACACCTCTCAACAAAATGGTGTTGCTGAACACAAGAACCGTCATTTGTTGGAAGTCACCCGTGCCCTGTTATTCTAGATGAATATTTTCCAATATTTTTGAAGTGATACTGTTCATACTGCCTGTCACCTTATTAATCGTATGTCATCCTCTATGTTAAATGGACAAAGTTTATAGTCTGTCATTTTTTTTGATAAGACCTTATTTTCCTTAACTCCTAATGTTTTTGGATGTGTTTGTTATGTTCACAATTTGGGTCCTAAGTTTGATAAACTTGACCCTCGAGCTACCCAATGTGTATTTCTTGGTTACTCCCGCACACAGAAAGGGTATCGTTGCTACAGTCTTTCTCTGCGACGATACTTTACTAATGCTGATGTCATATTTGAGGAATCTGTTCCATATTTTTTGGCACCTACTCAGCCTTTGAATCTAAACTTCGGGTCATCTCTTGTACCACCATCTTTAGATATTCTGCTGTCCACTGTGTTGCCATCTACTTTACCTCTTCGTGTATACACTCGTTGTCCTCACCCATCGGAGGTGCCTGTACTGTCTTCCTTGCCGCCTTCTAATTCTGGTACATCAAGTAATTTAGACTCTTCTGATCCTGATTCTTTACCTATTACTCTTCGAAAAGGTACTCGTTCATGTGTTACTAACTACCCCATTGCTCATTTTGTTTCATATGATACCTTGTCCCATGCCGTCTCTTGTTTTACCTCTTAATTATCTAATATTTATTCCTAAGTATTTATAGGATGCCTTATCTGATCCGAATTGGAGGAAAGCTATAGAGGAGGAGATGGATGCCTTACATTATAATGGGACTTGAGATCTTGTTCCTTTACCTGCTGGTAAACAAACTAATGATTATTGTTGGGTGTATACTGTTAAATTTTATCCGGATGGTTCTGTGGAGCGTCTCAAAGCCCGACTTGTTGCAAAGGGCTTTACTCAAACCTATGATGTTGATTATGAGGAGACTTTCTCTCCTATTGTCAAAATCTCCTCTGTTCGTATCTTGAATTCTTTGGATGCTAATCTTGATTGACTCTTATTTCAGTTCGACGTTAAGAATGCCTTCCTATATGGTGACTTGGTTGAAGAGATTTACATGGAATAGCGACCTAAGTTTACTGATCAGGAGGAGTATGGTAAAAGTGTATATCGGTTAAAAAAATCTTCGTATGGTTTGAAGCAGTCACCGAGAGCATGATTTGGTAAATTTTTTGATGCAATTTTAGAGTTTGGTCTTCGTCGATATCAAATAGACCATTCTGTGTTTCATAGACAAACGGATGCTAGATATGTTCTATTGATGGTCTATGTAGATATTGTGATCACTGAAAATGATTCTAAGGGGATTGTCAAGTTAAAAATCTTCTTGCAAGATCGATTTCATACTAAAGATTTGGAAAAACTCAGGTATTTCTTGGAAATTGAAATGGCTCGATCTAAATAGGGTATTTGTTTATCACAGAGGAAATACGTATTTGATAT